CAGTAATATTGTGAAGCAATGCTCATATGTTTCTATACTGTATGAAGCACTACACAGTAAGGATAATATTAGTTAATGTTTTTACTAGCATGAACAAACAACAAACTGAACATTTATTTTAGTATTTATTTACTTTTGTTAACCTTGATTAATTAAATTCATGTTTGTTTATATAACGCTTTTCACGATAATTATTGGTCTTGGTCTGCAGCTAAGAGTATATTGTTGGTTACTTCCATTAGAGCAGTTTCTGTCGTTCATTGTTAGTTCATGTTAACTGAGTACATTAATGTTAACAAGCATGAATTTGGATTTGAATAATGCATTAGTAAATGTTGAACTGTGATTGCTCATGTTAGTAAAGACATTAACTAATGAAACTTTATTGTAAAGTAAGGCCAAATTGTGTATAAAACCTGGAAAATGCTTAATTTTTAATTTTAATAGTGTTTTCAAGGTTAGGAAAGTGCTTTTATTTTGGACAAAGTTCCTGCATCTGCTTGAATTTGAAATTGCAGGGCTCGAAATGGCAGCCGTTTTGGTTGCATATGCACCTGAAGTGAAGTTTATTCATAAACTAATTTCGAGAGGATCACGTGCTTATGATTTATCACGGCCGGTCTCGCATTTGCTAATCACTATCTTCCAATCATATGAGCCCTAAGCTACTATAAATAGAGTGGAGGAACTATGACGTCACTTTGTAGGCTAATCGCCTGCTAGCATAAAACTGGTTCCCTCGTGAAAATCCCTATAGGATTTTCCCATAGGGGTTTCGAAGATTGTGAATAATAAGCTCTGTGATCAAGCACAGTTCATTACACTGACACGTTTTGTTCAGCCGGATAATTGTCACATGAAAATACAACATTGAGCACTTTTGGATCTTAAATGCAAACGCAAGAGTTAAAAAGCTAACATTAGGCTATAAACGGACTACAGCGCCCTTGGGGCACTTGTCAGTGACGTCAGCCCCACTCTGCTACAGACGACTTATCAAGCTTATTTTTAGAAATAACGTCCATGACAAAGAGTTAATCTCTCTGTGTATTATATATTATAATCCACGCTATATATTATAAACTAATAAATACGCAAACACGCATAGACCTTTGTGCCTTTTGGATCGTTTTTACGTGGGAAATACATCTGATTTGCTTTGCGGTTGTTCTAAAAGTTTTAAAAATGTGTATAAATCTGCCTATATAGTATTATTATGAGACATACTTAAATAAGTGTATCGCTCGCGTGCACACAGCCCGCTTACCTTAAACAGACGACAGAAATAAGGCGTGAGGAGAAACAAGTCTATCAAATGCCTGCAAGTTCCATCATCATGATGGACACAGAGCAACATTCAATATTCCTTTTTTGTCACGAAGTACAGTGAAAAACAGCCCATACAGTCACATCTGCTATACGTTTTATGGAGGAGTGTAAATATTGCAGTTAAATGTGATCAGATGAAGAAAAAAAGATGAGAAATCACTTGATCACGTTAAAATGACAGTTAACATGCACGTATTTTTACAAATTTATTCACACGTTTGCATTACTGAGAGCAGGAAAGAAACAGGCTGCACTGGTGAGCAGTATTTTCATAATATCGTTTAATTAAAATAAATGATCAATAAATTAGTCTGTCTCGACAGCCTTTACATGTGAAGGAATTATCTACACACAATCTAATTTCTCAATTAGAATAATACAACAAACTATAAAATACTATTCATGAAAATACTTAAATCACAGAAAAATCCAAATGCCCAACACAAGCGAGCTGCGCTCCAGACCAGATCAGCTCGATGACGTATAATGTCCCCGACGCCGCCTGTAGTCTCATTTAGCAACTTGATAGCAACCGTCTTTTTAAAGAAGCATAATCGTTTTAAAAGTTGAAGAGTGCGCTTTAACTGATGTGTTTTATGTCGTAGAACAAAACGTGAAAATATCTTGAATTTTTGTTTGTCACGGACCTTATTAAGGCGATTTTACTGAAACCCCATTCAAAAAACCCATTGACTTTGGGACGAGGGAACCGGAAGTGCTAAAATGCTAACTCGCTTCCGGGTTTTTGCATACAAATTGACGTCATAGTTCCTCCACTCTATAGCCACAGTTTTCAGTTCACTTTATCTTTGTTTGGAAGAAACCACCCTCCTCCCCTATTCTCCTCCTTTACCTCTGATTGGGCGGCCCAGTGGTTAGCACTGTGAGCCCCACAGCAAGAACACTGCCAGCCCTGGTTCCACAGGACCGGTGGGTGTTTCTGTGAGGAGTTTGTATGTTCTTCCCGTGTCCGCGTGGGTTTTCCCCGGGTTCTCCCTTTTCCTCCCACCATCCAAAGACATTCAACATACATAACAATCAAGCTTTTATCTAACCCTTGTGTTCCCTTAGCTACCGCAGCAGGGGAGTTCTGAGATCCAACGAGCTCAGGCTCCCCTCTCGCTCTGCCAACGGGAGGAAGCCCCGGGCTCGAGGAGCCCTTGAGCTCGGGGCTCTCTCCCGGGACAGCATGCCAAACAAGCTTTTATAAATCATCAGCTTAGTGTGAACTCTTGAAATTTTATCTATGCGAGCTTAAAATATATTTGGGAGCATTTGTGCATAAAATTGTTGCTGTGCGACCAGTTTTCACTGCAAAATGTTCACCGTATGCGCATATTAAGGAGACCTTCATGCAGAAAAACATCAAACGAAGCGCTCAGGAATAGTTTAAAACAGACATGTCGACTTGCCACTACACCCAAACTAAATCTGAATGTAAGCTCATTTTTTGAGAGATCAACTTTAGGTAGAAAGAGACCAAGCTTAAAAAGATACTTCATCCAATAACTGAACTTTTTTATTATTATTTTTTTTTTTAATTTTTACCATTTTTTGGTGAACTTTCCCTATAACTATCCCTATAAATCCCTATATGCTCCAAAGTATTCAACAATTTAAGTTGAAATGTCATATTGTGTTTTTTTAAAATAGCACAATGGATTTAAATGTAAAAAAGGTGCATACAGTGTATATAAACGTAATTTACCAGGGTTGTTAGGTGCTGTAATAGCATACCTTGAAAGTGCTTGAAAAGTGCTGGAATTAAAAGTTGGAAAAAGTGTAAGAACCCTGAAGTGTGATGCATTTTTTAAGATCTTTTCGTAAATGAAAAGTAAAAAAAAAAAGAATTTTTTAAAATTGAAAACTTGTTTTATTTTTGTAGCTGCGTCCCAAATGGCACACTATTATGGAGTCAATCAAGGCCCATATATTCTTGCAAAATAAAAGAAACATACAAATCTACAAAAAACGCAAAGCGAAAAAAATTTTTTTTTGAGAAATAAAAATGAAATTTGCAAAAAAAAAAAAAAAAACTGCAAATAAAAATAAAGCGGTGCAAAAAGATTCAAACATTTGCCATTTTAAAAAAGTACAAGTTCTCTTGACTTTGCTCCCTTGTCTAATCAGCACCACAAAATTAAACGTGCAGAAGCATGAAGTGCAAAGTCAAATCAGCATCCCAAACTCGCGGTTTAGAAAATGTTTTGCTAGTTTAAATTTTTTTTAATTGCAAATATTTTAGTTTTTTTTTTTTTTTTTTTTTTTTTTTGCACTGCTTGATTTTATTTGCAGTTCTGTTTTCAGTGCAGTTCTGCTCAATTTTATGTCTCAGCTTAATTTTCTCTTTGCAGTTCTTCATTTCTGTCAGCAAAATAAATTTTGATTTCTCAAAAATCTATTTTCGCTTTGCGATTTTTGAAGATTTGCAGTCAATTATTTATTTTTGCTCAATACGCTATTTTTGTTTGAAAAACTTTTTTTTTATGTTGCAAGTATATATGGCCCTAGATTGACTCTATACACTGTGCACTTATACACCTTACAGCATAGTATATGACTGTAGTGTCGCCCCAAATGGAAGTTTTTTTATTAAGCGGAAATTCAAACCGTTTCCGTGATGACGTTTGACGGTTGCCAAATTAGTTAAATAAATGATTAAAGTACCAATATTTATTTGAATGGTGGAAGCAAAATATTGCTACAAGAGTGAAAACAACCTGTCATGAGTATAACCGCATTCACCATCAGGAGGCGCTATAATCACTCTCGGAGAATTTTTATTATTTTTTAATTATAACTTTTTAACAGTACAAAAAAATATAAATGCCAGGGGGTAAGCATAAATCAAATACAAATATACATATGTGATAATCAAATAAATACATTGTAGAGTTCACAAAGTTTTAAAGTGTGTAGGGCTTTCTTATTTCGAGAGTCTCTGATACTACTAATATATAAGCATAATTCAGTCATCAACACCTTAAAGTTGGGTTTCTTATTAGTAAATTTACATTCATGAATGTAAAATTTTGTTAGCAAAATAATAAAATTAATTAAATTAAAACAATTTTCCCTCTTGTAGGAGAATTTTGCTTTCACCATCCATAATAAATAATCCTACATCAGTGCCTGATAGCTCCGCCCCTTCCACTACCTCAGCAAAGCTGCAGCTGTTGAGTGCGTGAAGTGTCCAACACTCCACACTTCATTTTAGCGGCTGAATAAGTGTATCATCCAGGTAACTGAAGCGCACTTAATATTTTTTAGAGTTTTCAGTGTGAATGCACTGCTTACATTATTCATACTACAAAATAGTACGCGATTTGGGAAGCGCCTTTTGTTTATTTATGAATACTAATGTACATTTACCGTAAATGTTCAGTATCATGGTCTGCTTTTCAGGTTCTTTATCAGCCATTCTTCAGAATAATCCTGGAAGCTCATCTGTAGCCGGTCAAAACTCTTCCAAACCTGCAGTGAACGGTACGTCTGACCCCAGACATGCTATCAGAGGTTACTTGATCATTATCGTCTCTACTCTTTTCAACATACTATGGTTTGGGACATACTTATTCTATTTTCCAATACTATTTAGGACTCAGCACTTGTAATGTGTGCATGTTTTCTTTTAATATACAATCCCAAATCAGAAAGTTGGAACAGTATGA